CACACACTCACAGACTCAGACACTATCAGGAACATCAGATGTGGTCTCACAGACCTCAATTTTCTGTGGCAATTTCAATTTGCTCCCCCACTTCCATTCACACACACTTTGAAAAAAAAAGAGCAGCGTCCTCCTTTGTTAGATGAACTCATCTCAACGTGTGACAGCGACTTAATCAACACAACCCTGTATTTCAGACTGACTCATTAAAGCTGTTGATGATTATAGATGTCTTTGTCTTTACCTTGTTTACACCCTGTCACCATTACCACTCACCCCTCAGTCACATGTTTCCATATTCATTTAGACTCACCCCGGTACCACGGCCCGTTTTTTGTGTTTAAATGTCATCCATTTTGTCTCACCCATTTTTTAGCAGCCTCTCCATCATCCATTTTGTGTTTACTGATCCATAATTTTTGTCTTTTGTGTTGTCTCCCTCTATTTTTCCATCCTTCAACGTCCCATCTGTTATTCATCCCCCCTTTTTTCTGTTTCTTTTGCTTTGTTTTCTTTGTTTTGTCACTTTTGGATGTAGCAAGTCTCACAGCTTCTGTCCATGCTCCATCAGGGCCAGTACCAGCCCAGACCCAGTTTCCGTGGCAACAAATACTCCCGCAGCTACAGGTAATTTACCCCCACCCCCCCTCAGCCCCTCTCCCTCTCCCCGAAAGATTATCTTTTGTTTACTTTTTATACCACTTGTTTCTCATTGTGTATCTCATGGTCCAAACACCTGTTGTGAATTTTACCTGTTACATTATTTGATGGCGTGCAAATGTGTTTTTTGTTGGTTTTTTTTACCTTCATATTCTTGTTATCATAATGATGTCATTCGGTTCAAAAGTCTAGAACACATTTGTCTTTATGTCTCAACAAATTTCATAGTTCCTCTCATAGGAAATTCGCTCAGGTTTATAAAGTGTGCATCCGTCAGAGTGTTTGTCATAATATCCCTTATGATCTCTAAGGGATGGATTTATGGGTGCCCCTAGTGGTCGCTGTGCTAGATTTATTGATGGGATCTACCTGCATGTAGGATTTATGGGCCGAGCCTTGTCTCGTCATTTGACGGATTGCAGAAGCTGCCTCAAGTTTCATGAGATGGATTTAGTCGTCTCAACAAGTGGACTGATTCATTCCCCCATATTCTGAGTGTAGAATACGACCTGTCACAGTTGATTTGTAAGATAACAGTCCTCTGTTAACTCATTGACTTCCAGCCATTTTCAGAACAGAGTCCCATACTGCCAGAGTTTTTTGAGCATTTTGACTGATTTTTCAAGAGCCACAGAATAGTTTGTGCTATGACTATGTAACCACCGAACACACCAAAAGAAAGAGTAGACTCTCTTCTTTCATCAGGAAAAAAAAATGTGTTTCTACCTTATTCCGTTCTTCCTGGACTTGCGTCTCACCGGCGACATGTTCTCTCATAGAACCGTTACCTTTTTCTTATTTGCCTACAGTCTATGCTCATCTCCCATCAAAAGTGGCACTGCCCCCTAGAGGGTCAATTTGTTACTACATACTCTGTCTAGAAGCCCTTATTTACGGACAAGCTTTAGCAGATCGTCCCCCAGACACTCTCGCTGAAAAAACATAAAAGACGTCTATAGACGTCTTTGGCAGCCAATGAGTTAATGAACATTTCTTCCCCTTTTTGTACACTTTTTTTTTGCAGATATGCTTTACAGGACATGGACAAGTTCAGTTTGAAGGACAGTGGTCGTGGGGACAGTGAGGCGGGGGACAGCGACTGTGAAATGGGGCGGGAATCCCCCGTGGACAGGCTGCTGCTGGGGGAAGGCTTTTCTGACCTGATGCATCTCGAAATGCACCATCGACTTCACCCAGGTGAGATTGGAAAAAAATAAAATAAAAAGATCTCAGCTTAAGTGGTTGCAAAAAAAAAACAGCACTCCTCCATTTCTTCCAGTTATCACCTTTTCTCTTTATAACTTGTCAGCCGCCTCACATCTTAATGTCTTCAGTATCATGCTAGATCAGTGTTTTTCAACCTTTTTTGAGACAAGGTACATTTTTTCATTGAAAAAATCACGTGGCACACAACCAACCAAAAATGTCAAACAAATCTTTAGCCGCCTATAGTAACACTATAGTTATTTTTAGTTAGTCTTATCTTATCTTAAGTGTCTTGAATAGTAATCAAATAAACCCCAAAATGTATTTTTATCATATTTTATATTTCTTATTTCAAACTGCTCTTAACATGTCCACTTCAATATGCAAAATTAAATACAAAATCTAGTCATAAGGAATTATTACATGATTACTCCACCAGTCACTAGAACAGCACACACACTCAGAAATGATTTGCAGATATTAATTCCTTATCAAAAAATCTTTTTAGACCAATTAGGTGAAATAGGATGATTTTCTAAGGCACACCTGTTGTGGTATACTAGTGTACCGAGGCACAGTGGTTGAAAAACACTGACCTAGATGGTAATCACACCTCAGCTAAATTTGAATTAGGAAAGTTTTTTTTATTTTTTGTTTTTTTATCACTTGGAGAAAACACACAACACCAGATCTTTGCAAAATGGAGAGTGTTTCTTGGCAGCTGAGCCTGAATGTTGACTATAATTAACCTGAATAGAGTCTAAAAGGACCCC